TTTGGCATTCTCTTGTTTTTTCTTTAATGTTATAGTTGTCTAATAAAAATTCTTCTAATGTTTAGAAAGATATATAATCTTATGCACAACTGGTTAGAAATTAAAAGTATTGATACTAACTTTTTTTTTAAGCTTACTGTAAATTGTTTTTTTTTTTTCTTTTTCTTATAATAAATTTTGTTCAAAACAAACAGGTAAAGAAATATTAGTAACAAAAGAGATTTGATAAGTATGATACCTTTGTTAATAGTTAGTTATGTTTATTTTAAGTCTTTTTAATTTTTTTAATTTTTTTGGAGAGGTTTCCTTAGTAGGTAAATATTATTTCTTTATTTGATATTGTATATAACAAGGTATACATTTGTAAAAGAAACAATATCTCTTTCATTATTTCAGAAAAGTTAAATGCTAGCTTGCTTACTTATCAATATCTAACTAATATCATAAAAAAATTCAAAATCAATATTAATATATCAGATAAGACTAAGTAGCAGCTATTCCTATCATTCCAAAAAATTTTGTGAATTCTTTTGATTTTTTAGATGTAAAAAATTAAAACTAAAAATAAAAGTAACCATAACTAAAACTAAATCAAATGTACTATAGGATCCATGTGTATATAATGAAAGAACCCCCTGATAGATTTGTGGTCCCAACTCTTTGTTCTTTCGGGTGCTATAGATAATAAGTATATGTAATGTTGTTTGTTGTTATAGTCATTAATAGTAAGATATTTGTTATTGTTATTGTAATTATTGTTATGGCACAAAACTGGTTAGAGCTTATTTGGTTTTTGCTTTGATTATTAAATAAAATCTAATTGAAGAGCACTGATTATCTGGAAGAAATAAACTGATTTCAGTTTTTTAAATAAGAAATTTTTGGAAGTTGAAAATGGCACAGCAAATATTGTTACAAGAATATTGTATATAAGAATTGACTTAAAACAAACAGTAGATTCACTAACTCTATTTGAGTATGTGTTTTGGAAAGTATTTGGTTTAGCAAGTATAATAGTGATAATGTAAATAATTTTTATAATAGAATAAGAATAAGAAGGGATGAAAGAAAACTAAAAAAAAAAAACTGCCACAGGTCTTTTCTTATGTAACTGAAGAATAAGCAAGACTTCCAAACTTGAGTAGACTTTGATCAGAGATTCCATCCTACTGCACCAGTTGTTTTGAAGATTCTTAAGTTCCTGAGCTGGTGCTCACTTATTATAAAGAGAGTAAACCATTTTTTTCTTGCTTAAAATTACTATAAAAAGAAAATTTTTAATAAAACAGATGCAATCAGGTAAGAGTTTTTTTTAATTTTTTAAATTTTTAAAACTTAGAAATTTAAATTATATAATAATTTTATAATAAAAAAAACCATATAATTAATCAATATACTATAATATAATATAAATATTTATAAATATTAATATTTTTTTGGGAAGGATTTTCTCTATAGGTAAATATTATTTTTTTATTTGATATTATATATAACAAGACATACATCATAAAAGAAACAATATCTTTTTTATTATTTCAGAAAAATTAAATACTAGCTTATCTTATTAATATTATTTAACTAATATTGTAAAAAATTTCAAAAGCAATATTATAGTACTAAATAAAGTTAAATAGTGGCTATGCCTATCAACTCAAGAAGTTTTATAAAATCTTTTGATTTTTTAAATATATATAAAAATTAAAGAGAAAATAAAAATAACTATAACTAAAACTAAGTCAAATAAACTATAGAATCTATAAGTAAAAAACTAATTATTTTCTTAAAAAAGCCTCTAGATAGCTTATAGTCCCATCTTTTTGGCTTTTTGGTTACCATAGATAATAGAATATACATGAAGTTGTTTGTTGTTACAGTTGTTAGTAGACATGTGATTGATATTGTTGTTATAATTATTGTTATACAATAGATGTCATAAATATTCAGAATTTTAATATAGCACATTTAAAGTTATATTACACATCATTTTATAAAACAACAACCTATATAACATAAATTTTAATTAAAGTAAGAATATGTTTACATGATTTGTATTTAAAAAAATTTTTTTTATAGCTATTAAAAAAAAAATCAACATAAATGTTATCTTTATCAAAGCCTGAAACGCAAAGAATGGTTTTAAGTCAGCTTTGGGCAGATAATGTTTGAAAACCTGCAGAAATAATTTGTATAACAGGTTACCCAAAGTCCACAGTATATGATATAATCAATCGAATTAAAAAAAGATCTTTCGTTACATCATTTCCTATACCTGGAAGATCCCAATTTTCGTATCTCACAACTTCGTCACTTTGGTCAGATTGTGCAGACCAATAAATTTGCTACTGTAGCTGAAATGATCAAAAGACTTGTCCTTAAAAATCTCCACCTGAAGGTTTCTGTTCATACCATTTAACATACATTAAAACAAGCTCTTCAGTTTGTCATTTGTTATCCAGTTGCCATTTCTCTTCTCCAACCTCACCACATCACTACTCATCTTGAATAGGCTCAAGATTATGTTGATCATAATTGGCACTATACGATTTTTTCTGACGAAATGACCTTTCAGATGTTTAGAAATACACAGTTAATAAGATACCATTGTGGGGAGTTGTGACCACACCGAAGTATGGTGAAACATCCCTACAAAGTTCATGCTTGGGATGTATTTTCGGCATGGGCCTGATTATGCTAGTTTTATTCACAGAAAATTTTAATTCTACTAAATATCAAGAAATTCTTGAAACTTATTTTTTTTCTCAATTTTCTAGGTTAGCTCACCACAGGTTTTATTTTCAACAGGATAATTCTTTTGTTCATAATTCAAAAAAAATGTGTTGTCTCCTTAAAAACCAAGGCATCTGAATTCTCGACTGGCTGCCTATTCACCTGACCTAAATCCAATCGAGAATTTATGGACAATACTTAAGGACAAGGTCAAAAAAGAATCAAACTTACATCTAATAAAAAAAAAAATCTTTCGAATAATATTTTTTAGCAAATTATTCATCAGGCGTGAGACGAATTAGATAAAGACCTATTTCTTACATTAGCGACGTGTATGAAAAATTATGTTTTAGAGGTGATTGATTGAGAAGGGGGAAGCTAGATAATTAAAAGAATTTTTTTTAATTAGTAATCATATTTGACTATGTATATACAAAGTTTCAATAATAATTAATAAAAAAAAAATTTTTTTTTATTTACCATAAAAAATTCTGAATATTTATAACACTTACTGTAATACAAAACCAGTTTGAACAGATTTGGTTTTTGTTTTGATTTTTAAGCAAAATCTAATTAAATAATTAAGAAGTGCTAATTATTTGTAGAGATAAACTAATTTTAATTTTTTAACTAGATAAAAATATTGAGAAAATTGAAATGGCACAGTAAATATCACTATAATAAAGTAATATTTATAAGTTGACTTGAAATAAATAGTAGACTTACTAACTCTGTTTGAGTATATGTTTTGAAAAGTATTTGTTTTAGCAAGTATAATGATAATAATATGGATAGTTTTTATAATAGAATAAGAATAAAGAGAGGTATAAAAGAACAAAAGAATAGAAAACTGCCACAGATTTTTTTTCATATAACTAAAGGATAAACAAGACCTTTAAACTTGAATAGACTTTAACTAGAGATCCCATTTTACTATATTAGTTATCTTAAAAGTTTTTGAATTTCTGAGTTGAAGCTTACTTGTAATAAAGAGAATAAAACATTTTTCTTGCTTAAAATTACTATAAAAGAAAAATTTTTAACAAAACAGATATGATCAGGAAAGAGTTTTTAATTAATATTTTTTAAATTACAAATATTATATATAAATATATTAATAAAATAAACAAATAAATAATAAAATTTAATAAAATAACTAATAATTTTATTAACAAAAATTTGAAAAAATTATTTAAAATTATTAATAAATATTATATTAAATTATTTATTAATTTTATATATATCAATTTATAGTTTATAACTTTAATGTATTTGCTAAATTATTTGTTTTTTATCAAATAATTGATAAGTAATATTAAGTTAAATAAATCATTTTTAATTAGTGTTAATTACAAATAATAATAAGGTCTTTAGAGATCAATAATCTAAAAGATTTTTTGAGAAGTTTGATTTTTAATATATTTTAATTATAGATTTATATTTTTTATATTTATATTTTATTATAAACAACTTTTTTTTTTTGAAACAATATAAAATAAACTATTCAGAAACCTGGTTTCTTTTGAAAAATAAATGATAAAAACTACTGGTTGATTGAAAATTTTCAACTTATCAAAAGACTGGCCATAATAAATATTAATTAATACAATTGTAATAACAAATAATTATATCTCTTTAGTAAATAGACTTGCTTATTGTTTTAATGCCAAAAAACAAAAAAAATAAATTATATCTTTAAAAATATTTTTATTCTTAAAATTATTTATAATAAGTAATGATAATAATTGCAAATTTGTAATATTTAAAAAACTAACTTCAAAATATTATTTTTACCAAAAAAAATATCACCTTAAAAGTTTAATCTTTTGCCTCAAACCGTATATTTCAATTTACTTTATATCATGCTCAATATATGCAGAATCCAGTCATTTGGCACAATAGATTTCATGTCCTACAATCTAGCCAATCAAGATATATTTATTTAAAAGCGATGTGTAAAACTTCAAATTACTTCGTATGCGTTATTCGACAGTGTATGTAATAATACATCATGTAAAAATATAACTTCTTGAAGTACAAGCGATAAGATATCAAATAGGCAAGAAAAAAAAACGATTTACCATGTTCCTCCCATTTTTCATTTTATATATGTATTTGAATAAACTTAAGTTTTGATATGGGTCAAAAGACTACAGATTTACCCACGAACTAAAAAAAGCACTGGATACAAACGTAATGTGATAAATTTGTTTACTTTTTTAGCCAAGAACCATAAAATAATAAACCTAAATACTCCATTTGAAAATATGAATTTAAGCTAAATTGAAGATGAAAATCAAACGTTATTTTCATTCGAAGCAGTTGTACAAACACAGCAAGAAATTTATAAAGATACCAACATTTAGGAGCTTCTTTATAGGAAATAGCAGCTTCCTCTCCCATCGCGCTAATAATGGTGACCAAAAGCTCTTTACCTATCAAATAAAATTGTAAAGTCATTAATCAAATTAATAAGAATAAGCGCTATTTAATATTTAATAAAACTTTCTTTATACCATCATCAAAATCAGATTGGATCTTTTCACCAAGTTCTCCTTCTGGAACACGAACGTCATCCTTGGTACTACCGTCGTTTGTCATTAAACTCAAGAACCCATCATCAATATTCAAGACTTGGTATTCATTACCTAGTTTTTTGCATAAGGTCATTTAAAAAAGATTTAATAAATTTTTATAGAATAAGGACAACAAAATGAAATGCTTACGATTGACATTAGGGACGTCCATATTATGAGTAGAAGGAGAAATATCTATAATCAAAAATCAATAAAGATCACCGTCAAAGGTTGTAACTGACTAAATTGATAAAATAAACATCTTTTTTGTATGGCCGAGTCGAACTAATGATGAAAATGAGAAGTGAATTCCGAACACTCAATAGCGATTTACATCTTTGGTATCCATCTTTTTGTAAATGAATCTTAACCCACCTTCGAGCTTTTTCCCGGTGAAAATATCGAGACCGACAAGGTGAACTTTCTATTAAGATTTAAAAGGTATATACGTAAAACAATTAACAATATACCGTGTAACGTTGAAGGTCTTGATTAGAATCCCATACCGCGTGCCCGTGTTTACCGGTCTTACTTGTGGTCATTTCGACGATCTTGCACGGTCTACCCTTAAGCAGAACATAACCGTTCTGAAAGAAACAAAGTTAACTAAAGTTAACCAATCCATTTGTTGGATGAATACAACTTTTTTTTTTTACCTTTCTGAGGGCAGAACATTGAATGGGATAGGTGGCTGAGGCACCGGATCCAGCTTCTGTAAAATCGTGGTGTTGATGATCCTCGTCGGCCATTATTCGTTAAAAATTTTTTTTGATGAATAAAAAAAAAATGAAAATGAAATATAAAAGGGGGGGAGTGGTTCGGCTGGTTGTTCAAAAAACGTTGATATACTTATGTATGCGCAAGTGAAGGTAATTGGCGAAAAAAAAATATTTTTTGTGCATGGGTGTGGCATATCAATTGATTTATATTATACTATAGATCGATATCTAAAAATTAAATCTATATCAAAAATTTATATACAATATAAAATATGTACAGTGAAGTGGAACAATAGATATAAAAAATAAAATTATTGAATATTGTTAAAAATAAATTAAAAATAAAAAACTTTTAAAATAATTAATAAACTTAAAAAATAAAAAAGCATTGTTTTTTATTTATTTTGTATATAGCAAGACATATATTTAAAAAAAAACAATATCTCTTAGATACAAAATATACAATAAGCTAACTATTATAACTGTTTAATTAATATATTAAAAAGATTTTAAACCATCAAAAAAAAAAAAACTCTTTTCTGCACACAACATTTTTCTTAAAAATTTTCTTTTATAGTTTTTTTTCAAAATAAAAAAACAAATATTTTTTTTATCTTTAAATATTCAAAAGTCCTCCATACTCTTTTTATTTTCAATACATAAATCCCAAGGAAATCAAAAAAACATACTAGTATATCAGAGTAAAACCACTGGCCAAGAAAAAACAAGTTTTGGATTCTTGCTTCTTTTTTGGATTACATGAGGAAAAACCTGTAACAGTTGCTTCTTTACAAGTTTTTCTTAAGGTTCTTCTTATTTTTATTTATTTATTTTTTTTTTAAATTGCAAATAGGCATTAAATGCAAGACATCTATTAAACATTGGTTTATTATCATTATATTAACAATCTTTAAAATACATAGAAGTTAAATTAATTGTAGCCTATTACAACTTTATAATTAATACACATTGATACCAAATAGATGTTTATATACTAAAGGTATTGAATGACTAATGTCTATTCAAAACAATGATATTATGGCTGGTATAAAAATTTTTTTGTCAGTAAGATTATTTGAATTTTTTAAAATACTGAAAACTTTCTGAAAGGTGCTTGTATTTGGGTAATCAGTGTTAGTGCTTGTCACAGAAGTGATTTTTTTCTATTTGATTCCTGAAATTGTCGAGGTGGTGGCAGTTGCTGAGCACTACTTTCAAATTTTATACAAGATTTTGAGAGAGAAGTTTGAGATTTCTTCTCTTTTTTGAATAATGTTAAAGGAGGTGTTGAACTTTCCAATAGCTATATTGAGAATTGTTTTGCCTGTTAGGTTGGTTGTTTGAAGGAGGTAAGTCTCGTTCGAGTTTAACTTTTCTTTAGGAATGTTTAGAACAATAAGAGTTTTAAGTTTATTTCTTTTTTTCCTTAAAGTGGGGAGGTAGTGGTGGCAAGAGAAAATATAGTCCAAAGTTTCTAAGTAGGCTTCACAGCAAGGGCACAGGTTGTTTTCATAGAGTAGGAGATATCTTTTGTGAAGTTTGGCTCAAGTAGGGAGCTAATTTGCTAGGATTTTAGTTCTGAAGATAGAAAGTGAATAAAAGTTGATTTTGTCAATATCTCTTAGTTTTTTGTTAGCTTTGATAATAATGTCTAGTTCCAAAAGGTTTGGGATTTGTTTATGGCAGTCTCACTTAAAAAAATATTAAAAAGGTTGGTGTAATAGTTTATAAATTTAATCCATTGTATAATGCTAGTTGTAAGATTAAGCTCGATTAATAAAGATGTGGTGTAACTAGTTGGGTGAAAAGTAGGAATAGATGTCGGGATGCCTTGAGGAATAGTTGAAGGGAATTGCTTTTTGTCAAAAATCCAGGTTAAGGAAATTTGTTTAACTTTGATTTGAATGTTAATGTTTTGAATGAGACTACTGTATAGATGTTTTATTTGGTGATTGGTATATTCAGATAGCTTGATATTAAGTTTGTATATAGAAAACAGGTAATTGTAGATAGTCAAGAAACTTCTAAGCAAAGTGAAGAGAGGAAGAGGATTGAGATTTAAATTATAGGTAAGAGATGCTTGAGAGCTGTGGATGGTTATTGTGTCATTATTTGTAAAGTAGATTGTGTAATGGGTCAGTGGTAAGAAAGGTGGTTGTTGAAAAATAGTGATAATTGGGATGTGGCAAGACTGAGTAGGGAAACTATTTATAAGTTCTTGTGGGTTATTGAGAATATAGTGAATGTTATTTCTTTTTGTTGATTATATAAATTTGAGTTGGTTGATATTAATAGATTTGGAACAGAGTTGTGTATTACAATTGTATTTTACTATTTATTTCACATTGTTAATGGTATAGTGTGGACCTGTGATCAGATGGCATGTGATGACATTGCATTTAACTTTGATGAGACTAAGTGTGTTAAGTCTTATTAGATATGTCCAGAACTGTGATTTTTAGTTGGGAACTAGTAATATATCCCCAATAATTGAATTGCTTGGTCGTGGAATGTTTGTGAACCATGATGGAGTGGAATCAATTGATATGTGTCCTTTATGTATATGAAATTCTTGCCAAGAGAGTTTGTTGCCTGTTTCAAAGACAAAAGAATTTTGTATTGTTTTGAGGTTAAAGTAATAGAGTGTGAGAGCTACTTTTTTGTTAACTTTGGTAAGGAAGCCGATTGACTGCTAGTAATTTGTGATTTCGAATAGACATGGGGAGGGACAAACATTGATGCTATATTTTTTTGCTAACTGTGCTGTTTTTGTTATTTAGATTATTTTGAAGTGAGATGGGTCATATAAGGGACATGACCAAATTGTGCTTGTTACTTGTGATTCTTCTTATTTTTACTTCTTATTAAAATACATTTCTTATTAAATAAACAAATTTTTCTTTCTATTGGTCTTTATTTTTTTCAAAAAATCAAACTTTACATTAAAATTGTTTATACTGTTGGCTTGGGACATCAGCAATATTTATAGTTTCCACTTCTCAATATTATTTAGTGTGTATTGTTACACTATCAAAATAAAAAATTTTTACAAAAAAAAATTTTTCACCAAAAAACCATAATCAGTTTACTCCTGTCAACTGAGCACCATCTCAAATTCAATCAATTAAACTTTACCAAATATCAAAACAAACTAGTGCTATTAACACATCATACAACAATTGACGTAAACGCATACATTTTCAATAAAAACAATTAAAACAAAATCATATCAATAATAATCACTACCATTACAGTTAACAATTCAAACAACTACAACTTCAACAATAAACAATATCACTTATACTATATCATTTGTATTAGTAAGAGACATGTTTACAAGAGAAAAGATTTAAAAATACTTTATTTATTGATCACTTTTCTATGGAAGAGTCCAGAGATACTTTATATGTTGATATTTTATTAGGAGTCTGAGATACTTTGTATGTTGACTGTTTTTTGAAAAAAAAGTTTGAAGATATTTTATTTGTTGGCCGCTTTTCCAAGGAGATATAAGTTTTACTTTTACAAATTTTATAGTTTATATAATCTTGTTCTAATTTTAGCTTTAGTTATTTTAATTGTCTTTTTTCCAATTATATTTATATTTTTTTCTTTAATTTCTCTATATTTTTCAAATTTATTTTTCTTTATCATATATTTTTCTACATTTTATTTACAAAACTTAAAAGATTTCACAAAATTTTTTAAGTAGATAGGCATAACCACTACTTCTTTATCTAATATTTTAATATTGTTTTTGAAATTTTTTTCAATATTAGTTAGATATTGTAAAGTAAACAAGCTAGTATTTAACTTTCTTAAAATAATGAAAGAGATGTTGTTTCTTTTATAATGTATATCTTGTTATATACAATATCAAATAAAAAAATAATGTTTACTTACAGGAAAAAAAAAATTTTTTTAAACCATTATTCAATATAAATATAATTATTTCAAGTATATTTAGAATTTAATATTTTTACTATTAAACTCTAATTTCCTTAAGTATTTATAGCTGCTTAATATTATTTAATAAAATATATTGTTTTAAATTTTCTTTTTTAAAAAAGATATTTTTTTTATAAATAAATATTATTATATTGTATTAATATATAAGAGATATTGTTTTTTTTATAATATACAGTATATTTTAACATATATAAATCAAATAAAGAAACAATATTTATCTATATATAATTTTTCTCAATAAATAAAAAATTATTTAATCAACTCTTTCCCGTACACAATATTTTTCTTAAAAATTTCCTTTTATAGGAATTTTCAAAATTAGAGAAAATATTTCTTTCATTCTTCAATATTCACAAGTCCTCTATACCTCTTTAACTTTCAATACCAAAAATCTCAAGGAACTAAAGAAGCACACTGATGCATCAAGATGGAACCTCTGGTCAGGAGTAAGCAAGCTTGGAGAACTTGCTTTTCTCTTGAATTGCATGAGAAAAGGCTTGTGGCAGTTGCTTCTTTACAAGTTTTTCTTGGGGTTTTTCCCATTTACATTTCTTATTAATATATCACTTATTAATACACAAACACTTTTAAATATTCATGTTCTTGACTTGGAGGACTTTATTTCATTTCAAAACACAAACTTTCACATCAACTTTGTTTATATCACTGGCCTGGGGAACCATTGATATATACAAAAAACAATTTCTATCATCGCTCAACACATTTTACTGCGCCACAAAAAATCAAAAATTTTTGCTCAAAAACTTTTTTTTCAAAAAACCATAATCAGTTTGCCTCTGGCAACTGATCAACATCCTACCTTCAACCAATCACACATTATCAAATATTTAAACACGTTCATTATACCTGCCAAAGATCAATGTAAACAACACTAAAAATGGAAATCTGTTTAACCACATGACCTTATTCTATTAATAAACACCAAAACAATAAGCACATTCCATCAATCATCAATTCAAAAACAACAACATGGCTTTAACTTTGCAAATCAACAACCACTACATATAAACCTATCATACTCAACCAACCACTCAACCAAT